GAACCGGCCGAGCATCATACTTGGATCTCACTTGCTCTGCCTCAAAAAATGATGGGGATTGATCAGATTTTTCTTTCTCGTGGCGGATCCCAAGAAGAACTTCGATTGCTTTAGACATAAAGATCTGAAGGTCTTGCAATGAAGTATGCATCCGGGTGCCATAATCTTGTACCACATAATCCTTAGCAGTTCCGGTTACCCCATCATGATGCTGGAAAAGAGCTAGATTTCTTCTTGCAGCAGTTAACTTATACGTAAAACTTGTTGGAAATTTCTCACACTGAATCCGATGGCAATAACCTAGCAGAAATGACATCATGATCTCAGCTCCACGAAGGGTATGCTCGAGCACACGATCAACAGCTTTGAAGAAAGGCCTTGAAACATAATAACCACTCCAATAGTCTTGTTGCCTATCTGCATATGTAAAGAAGTCACCTGACAGAGAAGGGAAACCAACAACCTGACCAGAGCCAACCTCACCAGGACGAGAATAATTTACTATGTCGGCTTCTTCTCGGAGTGTTCTGAAATAATCCTCCAAAGTACCAAACTTTGCCTCTGCGTTTAGACTAGGATTAGAGTTGATGTGATCAAACAACATCTGGTAGTTACGGAACTGAGCCTCGGCTTCATCGATACTAATGTACCTAAAATCATCTCCAAGAGGTATAAGAAGGGTATTAGTTCGATATAGGGTGGATTTTTTCCTGTATTGATCCAGAAGCTTTAATGCCCTCTCCTGTACATTTTCTACTGTGGTCTCCACTGGGTGCTTTCCCCATGGACAAAGTTCATACTTAAATCCCCGCATACGAGCGAAATCAAACTGACAGCAAATTGCAGGCTCTGGCCCACAAGTGTGTGGGATATCGTATGAATAAAAAGGCATCATATGAACAAAGATATCTGTTGTTTCCATAGCATCCCAACTCTGACGCCAAATGTATTCAAGATTCTTATGCTGGGCAAGGTCTTTCTTGAGCTCGTAATGAGTCCTCTGAATAAGCATGTTTTCAAAACCCATACGCCGGAGGAGATAAGCCATGGTTGATGAATAGCCAAAGGGGTCTATAGCCCAAGAATTCTTAGGAATAACCCCAATTGTGTCATTCAGCCACATATTACCCTCTGCTATCTGCAGAAGAAGGGATCCAGTACAAAATCAGCTACTTAGAAACGCCTGCAAGATGATTTACCCAAAAAGGAAAGAAACACAATGCAACAAGCGGCTGGTTAACGAGCATTATCACTAGCCAATTGACATTCTAACATCACATGTTCTATGCATAGCCAAAAAAAGAGAGGTTTCAGCACAAAAGAGGTCTCAGGTGATGTCGAACTATAACCAACCATAAGTGACATAATAAATACTCCACAAACCTAGCAGAAGCAGAAACATTAAATGAAAACGCAGTAATCAACACCATCATCTATGTTTCAGTAAGAATAAAATTTCTAAAAGCAAACAGGAGTAGACAAATTAAGTGCCTATAAAAACAGGAAAGTCAAGCGATGATGTTCATACATACCTGTTCAATTATGGCAAAATAATGAGAATTGGCCTGCAGGGAACATTAAGAAGAAACTTTAGCACATACAATCTCAAATTCTCAATCAAAACTATCAGCAGAAGAATGGCATGTGAAATAAACAACAACTACTTATTTTTAAGTAACCAAACACAAGTACAGAAACATACCTCATCATTCATAACCCAGCCACCTCCAACAATCTCTAGCTGCCCATTCTTAACCAATTTAGTCAAAGCTTCTTGTTTATTAGGTGAAGCGTCTCTCCACCATCTCTCCAGATATGACATCTCCTCCCATATAAACTTTCTTCTTGCATCCTATCAAACAGATTAAAAACAAATCCCACACTTGTAAGATTCTAGCTAGATTGAAAAAAAACTAAGGCACAATGTAATCCAATCTTTTACATAAGCTTTGAACTTCTAGCTGTAATACTTATATAGTTATCCTTCAATCTCAAAACCCAGTACTAAAAATTCAAACTTTAGCCCCAAAGACTTCAAAATTTTCCAAAAGAAGGAGCTTTTTAAACTCTGTTTCAACACGAAACTAAAAAAAAAAACAGAATCCAGCAAAGAAGTTGGTTATAGAGTTTAATGACGTCATGAGAAGTTTTAAAGATTGTTCACGGGATAATCATGGGAGAGAATTAAAAATTTAAAACCAAAAGCAAACAAAAATTCGTCAGACCTTAGATAAAGTCTCAACAATGGTGTCAAGAATATGCCTGGATTGTCTCTGATAATACTCCTCCACCGTCAATTTCCAACCAGGATCGTTATGAGAATGAGGCACAACGAAGATTTTGAGCTTCTCTTTCTCCCACTCATCTCCTTTATACGTAACTCTCCAACCTTGTTTCCATGGACCACCATCTGCATCAAGAAACTCAATCCTATCGTATAGATCTTTAGTTGTGATATCAACGACGGCGCCGGAATTGGAATCGTTTAATGGTCGGCGATTGATATTCTTCCGTGGCTTCACGATCCGATTGGATCTGGAGGTGAGGAATCGTGAGGAGATCGGTCCTGGTACGCCGAAATGGAAGAGAGTGAGGAGGAAGAAGAGGAGTGAGACCATGAGTGCGATGATGAAGAAGTTGGCGAAGAGGAAATTGATTACGACTGTTCGTTTTCGTGGTTTTCGATTGATCGCTAGTTTTGACTTTGATAACGCTGTTGGGAGAAGTGATTGGCCCCAACCACCGCCGGTGGAGCTACGGCGGGTGTTGCCGATGTAGGAGGAGAACGGCATAATCTCTCCTCCTCGGAATTTCCAAAGGCGCTTTTTTTTTTCTTCTGGCTAATGAATTAAAACTACGTCGTTTCGAGTGGTCTTTTTTTTCTTACTTGTGTTCGGCTCTGAGATTTATGTAAGTGGATGATGATGGTCTTGACTCTTTAGATTCGACGGACTTTTCTCTGAATGGTGTTTGGTTTTTTTTATAAAACAAGTAAATGCCAGTGGTGTTATTGTCTTTTCGACATAAGCTACCTTTTTTTTTGTTTTTGTTTTTTCCCTTTTATGCCCAAGTTGGTCAGTAACTTTTTTGGGTGGGTGGTTAATGACTTTATGTTGTGGAGTATTGATTTAGATTATTAGTCAGTTTTATAACTACAGGCATTCTGCATTCATGATTAGTAATAAGTAATAACTATGATATATTGATATGCTTTACCAGTCGCAATTCCGTATAATGATGATTCACTTTATAGTTCAATATGATATATCTTCATTGGTTAGTACAACCTTTTAAAATTTACTAGAGAGATGATCTATGCGTTATGCACACAAAGTAAAATACCATTAAAATATTTTCTTATATTTAAAATTTTAATATTTGTATGATATCATTTTTTTTAGAGAATTGGAAATTTATTAATGATAAAATCTTTGAAAAACACTAATGATAAAATTTATATCAAAAACATTCATAACTGCACATTTCTACGTTTAAAGACTAAATAAAGAATTTCTGCAAAAGTACAAGATAGATGATCACGTTATGCATGCAGCTGGGGATGTGCCTTTAGTCAAGTGGTTAAGTCCACTTGACTCCGCCTTCCCCACCGGAGTTCGACTCCACTAAGTCGCGTTACCCCGCGTAGTAGGGATTAGCTATGGATCGGGCCTTGTCGATTCAAAGATGTCAAAAAGAAAAAAAGTTATGCATGCAGCTAAAATACCATTAGAAGATTTGTATTACATCTAAGAATACGGTTTTTATATTATACGATATCGTTTTTTTTAGAAAAATTGGAATTATATTTAGTTTAGTTATGAGAAAACACTTACAATAGTAAAGTTTGTAATTTTGTGACATAAATTTACTAAATTATCACTTTTTCTATGTTTAATTAGGAAATTTGTTTGCAAAAATACTCTCCAACATCATGCAAAACATAAGTGATTCTAAAGCTACCTTTTCCTAACAAGATTCTCCGTTGTCTCTTGTCTCATTTATTTTAAAAAATTTTATTTGATCGGATCTCAACTACAAGAAAAGATTAAATTAACTTCTAACACACTTTGATCAAAAGATTTTTTGACATTTTTGCTACGTTTTGATGATGTACTACAGTTTCGCACATGTCCAGCTTGCGTAAGACAAAGGTTTGATGGTTTTCGCTCGCTCGAAATTTTGTGATGTCGAATTATCTGCCCAAAAGCGTCATCGTTGACACAAACATAAAATTTAGGAGGACAAACGGGTTTTCCATGTTTCGACAACTTGAACATTATAATAGGCAAAATGTTTCAACCATAAAGGGTGGTGCAAGGAAATTATTGCTTTCAAGGTAAAACCCTAAAATTAACATGTTTTAGGAAAATATTTTAATCATGTGTTCATAACTTCATATGAAAGAGGTGTATAATTCGCTATAGTGAACACACATATTTTTTTTTTGAAAAACGAATGATAGAAAGGATTACCAACATGTAAGAAGAAACCTTGACTTATCGAATAGATATGATCAAAGATACAATACAACAAAATCTTTTTTTGGTATAAAAATTATTATTACTTGATTCTTAACATGTTTAAAACTAATCATATTATAAAATTTTGTTTTAAGTAACAAAAAAGAGCGTGCTATAGACACACATATAAACTTTTTGAAAAAACAGATGATAAAAATAAGTATTAAAAGACGCGCGCTATAGGAACACATAATATTTTTTTGAAAAAACAAATGATAGAAAGGATTATCAACATGTAAGAAGAAACTTTATCGAATGAATATGATAAAAAATAAAAAAGAAAATACAACCAAATCCCTTTGCTATAAAAATTATGATTACATAATTCAAAACATATTTAAAACCTATAATTACAGAAATTTATACACTAAATATTTACAAAACAAATTAAAATCAAATCAAATACCTAGTAAAAAAAATTCAAAAAGAAAACATTAAAAATAGGCAATCACATTTAACCCCGGTCATACTAGTGAAAGTATTTCCTAATTTGAAAAGACCCCGCCTATATCGTAAAAGGTTTCTGAGGTCACAACAAAGCTCAGAACCAAACACAACTCTTGTCACTCTCGAGAGAAAATATCTTTTGTTGTCTCCCACCCTCCCCCACCAGGATATGGAATCTCCCGCTCCCCAGGTTTACAGCCGCAAGGACAAATCTCTCGGCGTTCTTGTCGCCAAGTATCTCTCTCTCTTACGATTCTCCTGATTTTGATTTCCTTTTGTTTTTTCACGTTTCCGTTGAATTTATTATCTCTACTCTATTTATGTTTTCCTGTTTGTTTTCAGTTTCTTGATACTGTATAATCGTCCCGATGTTGATCTGATTGGGCTCGATGATGCCGCCGCGAAATTAGGTGATTTTTATTTATGTCTTCCCATTTATTTTGTGTTCGATTGGATTTTTTGATTATATATTTATCCGTATTCAATTGATTCTAGAAGAAAAATAAAAAGCTTGATTTTGTTGATATCTGAAATTGTAGGAGTGGAACGTCGCCGTATTTATGATGTGGTGAATATATTGGAGAGTATTGGGGTAAATATTTTATGTTCATGATGATGTTTTATTTATTTATGCTCTTTTGTGTTTGAATTGAGGTGATTATGTTTTGTGGTGTTTTGTTTTTTGACGCAGCTTGTTGCAAGAAGTGGGAAGAATCAGTATTCGTGGAAAGGTTTTGGAGCAGTTCCTCGTGCTCTATGTGAACTCAAAGTACTTAAATAACGAATCAATCTATATATATGTTTTTTTTTTGTTTAGCTTCTTCAGGATTGCTTTGATTGAGAAGGGTTTTTGAGTTTTGTCTCTTTTGTTTTACAGGAAGAAGGAATGAGAGAGAAGTTTGGGATCGTCCCTTATGTGACCAAGTCAGAGATGGTGATTTCTTATTCAGATTTTGTGATTGTTGATTCTGTTGGTTGGATAGTTACTTAGTTGTGCTTATGATTCTGCCAAAACATCAATGAAACGAGATTCTTATTTGAATAGGTCATTTATGAGAAAGAAAGAGAAGAAGCTTTCATGTTAACTCCTGATGATCAAGAGTTTTCACCATCTCCCAAACTTGGTAATGTCTCTTATGTTGGAACATTCTTATGTTGGAGCATCATTGATGTCTTATGTTGGAGCATCATTGATGTCTTTTGTTGGAACATTCTTATGTTGGAGCATCATTGATTATAGGGAAGGACTAAGTATTACTCTAGGCATTTTCGTATTTAGTCCATTCATTTACTTTCAATCTAGAATCCGATACGAATGAAAACTAGTCCTTGTTAGTGATTGTGCATAAGAATGATCTAGTAAGTAAAATTTTCCAGGATAGGATTCGTGTTGGAAGCTAACTTGGTAATATCTTATGTTGGAACATCATTGATTAGCGAAGGACTCACTTTTACTCTAGGCATTTTCCTATTTAGTCCATTCATTTACTTTCAATCTAGAATCCGTTACGAAAGAAAACAAGTTCCCGCTAGTGATTTTTGCATAAGAATGCTCTAGTCAGTGAAATTGTTCATGATAGGATTCCTGTTGGAAGCTAACTAGCCTAACCTTTGTTTTTTGCTATTTTTTAGACAACAAGAAGGAGAGAACTCTCTGGCTACTTGCACAGAACTTTGTGAAGCTGTTTTTATGCTCTGATGTAAGTGAATATGTGGTATGCCATCTCTCTAAACAAGTCTGACCAATGACCAATTAATTGACACCTCTCTTGTTGCTACTTTGATGTCAGGATGATCTGATAACATTCGATAGCGCTACAAAAGCATTGCTGATGGAGTCTCAGGATATGAATATGAGAAGTAATTCTAATTCCTTCCCTTAAATCTTTGTTGTTCTCTGATTATTATTACATACAGAAGCAATAACCAAACCCCATCTCTGTAAACTCCAAGCAGCTAAAGTTAGACGCCTTTACGACATTGCAAATGTGTTTTCCTCAATGAAGCTAATCGAGAAGGTACAATTACTATATGAGCCTGTTCCTAAGATATTACAATAGGCACAATCTTGGACATTCCAATCTTCTTGTTTATTTTTTTGTCTTTTGTGTTCATGCAGACTCATGTCCCAGAGACTAAGAAGCCGGCATATAGGTGGTTGGGGTCCAAAACCATTTTTGAAAACAGATTCCTTACTGGTTCTGCAAGCTCATTATGTGATCGTAATGTGCCTAAAAAGCGGGCATTTGGGACCGAACTCACAAACGTTAACGCAAAGAGAAACAAACCAGGTTGTTCTGAAGACAGCAAACGTTATGGAAAACAAAACACAAACATTGTTATCAAGCAAGAACAATGTGATGTGAAACCGGACGTGAAGAACTTTGCCTCTGGCCCATCCACTCCTGCAGGCACTTGTGAGATGAACAATGTTGGAAACAACATTAGGCCAAGAGGTCGACTTGGAGATATCGAAGCCCTTTCTACTCTATACCAACCACAGTATTGCAATCCTGGTAAAAAACTACTCTCTTCTCTACTAACTAATGTCACAGTTTTGCTTTCTATGAAATACTTTAGTTTCTTTCGTATATGTTTTCCTTATATCTATAATAATCTGTGGGGACTTTTTACAAATCAAAGTTTCTTTTGTGAACAGCGTTAATTAGTCTTTTTGAGCATTACCACCAGACATTTAGGTCATGTCAAGAAGAGTTTGGTCGGAAGAAATGACTTAATCAGGTAGATTAACTTGCGGGGCGTTACTTCGATTCTCTGATCAAAAGCCAAATTTCTAGTGCTCTTTTGCGTTATAAACTACAGAAAAACTCTTACTATAGAGATTATTATTACTTGCAAATGAGAGCGTTATCTTTTGTCTTTTTTGGAGAAGAACAAAAAAAAAAAATTAAAGTAGCTAACCGTTTAATTTTCTTTATTGTTACAAATGGATACCATTTCAGTTCTATTATATATCTATGTTGAAAGGAGTTTTTAAAAGTGCTAAGTTAAAACTTGAATCTGTTAATGCTTTTGTAGTTTGGAATGGTTCGAATTTTATCATAGGCTTATAAATTTGGATATTTCACATAAGAGATATGCCACTCTTGAAAAGAAATAAGAGCTTGTGGTAATTTTGATAAATTTTGTTATGATGGCATTGCTTGTTAAATTTCTCTTTCTAAAAGTCGACCAAACACAAGAAAAGACCAAAAACCTTGGCTTAGTGGGCTCAGATAAATAAAACGAACGAAGGAAGATTTTTTCTTTAAAAAAAACAAATAAATCATAATTATCAAAAATATTTAAGGAAAGAATTAAAAAACAAAAAGATTCTTCTTCCAATACCCAACGCATATTTACGCAGCCACACAGCGGAGAGAGAAAAGAAGAAGAAACAGAAACAGAGAGCTCGAGACTCTCTCTTATTAATGGCGGCCGCATCAGCACGAGCCTTCTTCTTGCTCTCTCGTGTAACAGACCTATCAAAGAAGAAGCTAATCCTTCACCAACCACCACCGTCTTCGTCTCCTCACCGGTTACCTTGTGCTCCGAATCGTGCGGTGTCTTCCTCCGCTGTAATTAGCTGTCTCAGCGGTGGTGGAGTTTCCTCCGACGATTCTTATGTATCTACTCGTCGGTCTAAGTTAGATCGAGGTTTCGCTGTGATCGCGAATTTGGTGAATCGGATCCAGCCGCTTGATACGTCTGTTATCTCTAAAGGCTTATCCGATTCAGCTAAGGATTCGATGAAGCAGACGATTTCTTCTATGCTTGGACTTCTCCCTTCCGATCAATTCTCCGTTTCCGTTACCATCTCCGAGAAGCCTCTTTATCGTCTCCTTATTTCTTCCATCATCACCGGGTAAATAAAATCAACCGTCCGGATTTTGAATATCTCTAATGGGAATTTTGTTGGAACACTGTGTGTGAATTTAGGGATTTTGTGGTTTTAGGTATACATTGTGGAATGCGGAGTATCGTGTATCACTGAGGAGGAATTTCGATATACCGATTGATCCTCGAAAGGAGGAGGAGGATCAATCTTCGAAAGACAATGTTAGATTTGGTTCAGAGAAGGCAGTGAGTGAGGACTTAGGGAATTGTGTTGAGGAATTTGAGAGATTGAGTCCTCAGGTGTTTGGAGACTTGTCACCTGAAGCGTTGAGCTATATTCAGCATTTGCAGTCTGAGTTATCTTCCATGAAAGAGGTAATGTCAAAGACTCAGATTCTGTTCCCATGAAAGATGGTTTGTGATACTTTTAAGCTCCTAAATACTTGTTTTGTTCTTAATGTGTCTATTTCAGGAGCTAGATTCACAAAAGAAGAAAGCTTTACAGATAGAATGTGAGAAAGGAAACAAGAATGATTTGTTGGATTATTTGCGTTCCTTGGATCCCGAGATGGTACTTAACGTTGAGGTTCATTTGATTTTTATTGTCACTCTCAAGAACCTTAGTCTGATGACAAGAATCATATTGGCAGGTGACTGAGTTATCTCAACTTTCTTCACCGGAAGTGGAAGAGATTGTGAACCAACTTGTCCAAAACGTATTAGAGAGGCTCTTCGAAGACCAGACTACTTCAAATTTCATGCAAAATCCTGGCATAAGGACTACAGAAGGTGGTGATGGAACTGGTAGAAAGGTAGACACATCCAGGGATTACCTTGCAAAGCTCCTTTTCTGGTAAGTCTTTTTAACTCCTCTTATTCGCAAATAATTAGAACAGAGCTTGTTAATCTCATCGAATCGATGGTCTGTTTCGTCTCAGGTGCATGCTATTGGGACATCATTTAAGAGGTTTGGAGAATAGATTACATCTCAGTTGTGTCGCTGGGTTGCTGTAATATCAGAGAATCAGAAAAAGGAGACCCAAAAAAAAAAGAAACACCAATGTATATTCTTCTCCCTCATTTTGATTTCTTTAATCTAAGCGTTAAGTTATTATCTACCAATGCCCCCATGCAAATTGCCACCTCTTTGAGTTCTTCTAATTAGGTTTAAATGTCCAGATAGTGTTAGCTAATCAAAGTTTACGAACAAAGGTTATAAGGATCACTAGAATTATAAAGTTCTTCAAAAGCGTAGTTTTTGCTTTCTTTGAGAATTTAAATCTGTTGAAGGTAAATCATACTAGTCTTCAAATGGATCGTAGTGTCATTTGTGTATAATTGTTAGTATAATTTGATTCATTAATCTCTTTTAATCAACTAATTTGACTGTTTCTATATTGTTGTTCTTCAGGTAGATGGTTTGAGTATTTAGTCTAATTATTCACGTGTACCCACTTCACCTAACCACCCATCATGATAAATTACACAAGTGTATTCAATTTTGATTTAATTTTCAGAAGAATAGTGATTAACCAAAGTAATTTTAAATTTTTAAAACGTGTTCAGTTTAAATTTGTTATTTTAATCAAATATCGTTATCGAAGTTTGGTTTCTTAATTCCGTCTGGTTTATATGGATAGAAGTAGAACATATAGTGATACAATAAGGTAGGTGAGTTTTGTTTGATTTATTTTGCTTCTTAATAAAAATAGGTAGAAGAACTTTAGAACAGAAAACAAAAGCAAAATGAAGAAATTCTTATGAACACGAAACCAACCGAAAAAACAGCAGTAGGTAAGTAAACTTAGCATGTCACACAAGAAGCATTGGACTCTTTTACTTCAAATATACGAGTTTAAAGACCTCTTAACGGTACTACTAAAAGATGGGACTCCATCCAGTCTCAGAGGCCAACGCCTCAAGCCCCTTCGGTTCTCTCTCTGCCGCCACATTTTACTCCCGCCACTCCGTCGCCCATTCCTCCGCCTTTGTCACCAACCCAACCGGCCTCAAACTCTTTACCCAATGGTGGACTCCACTCAACCGTCCACCACTCGGCCTCATTGCTGTTGTCCATGGCTTCACCGGCGAATCCAGCTGGTTCCTTCAACTAACATCCGTCCTCTTCGCCAAATCCGGATACCTAACTTGCGCCATCGACCACCAAGGCCACGGCTTCTCAGACGGTTTAACCGCTCACATCCCAAACATCAACCTAATTGTCGACGACTGCATCTCCTTTTTTGACGACTTCCGTAAGCGTCACGCTTCCTTCTCATCTCTCCCTTCCTTCCTCTACTCCGAATCCCTTGGTGGCGCAATCGCTCTCTACATTACCCTCCGCCAGAAACACCAGTGGAACGGTCTTATCCTCAGCGGCGCAATGTGCTCGATCAGCCACAAATTCAAACCTCCCTGGCCGTTACAACACCTCTTAACCCTAGCAGCTACTCTCATCCCCACCTGGCGCGTCGTCCCCACTCGCGGCTCCATCGCCGGCGTCTCTTTCAAGGAACCATGGAAACGGAAACTAGCCTATGCTAACCCAAACAGAACCGTCGGTAAACCACGAGCAGCCACGGCCTACGAGCTCGTACGAGTCTGCGAGGATCTTCAAAGTAGGTTTGAAGAAGTTGAAGTCCCCTTGATGATTGTGCACGGTGGAGACGACGTCGTCTGCGATCCGGCCTCCGTCGAGGAGCTTTACCGGAGATGCAGTAGCAGAGACAAGACAATAAAGATTTATCCAGGGATGTGGCATCAGCTAATAGGAGAGTCGGAGGAGAACGTCGACTTGGTGTTCGGTGATGTTTTGGATTGGATTATGAAACGATCTGAAATCTCCAGAACCAAAGCTTAAAGTTTGCATATATAATAAATAAATAATCATAATTCAAATTTTATATTAGTAAACAAATCCGAGAGTTTTGTATTTGAGATCCTCAAGAATAGGTCAACTAAAATTCTAAATTCTAAAGAAATATTGTTAACAAAAGATGAGAATAACTTTTAATCTCTTGGGGATGCCATTGAAGAAAAATGAAAGATATAATGAAGGAAGTGGAAGGGAAAGTGAAGTTTTCAATGGCGGATTCGACTATGATGTTACTTGTTCAACAAGCAATGGACAAAGCCCATGAAAAGATCAAAACCAAACACGGTCTTCTCCTCCGTCTCAATGCCATATCTATTTTCTACGAGCTAGCTGTGATACAGCTCGAGAGCTGTCTTAGTTTTGTCCGACAAGAAACCGATAAACTAGAGAGTAACCACGAGGAAGTGGTTCGGGATCTGAGAGAGATTAAAGACAGACTTCACCACCGTCTCTTAGAGACCGAATTAGCCATTCTTGAGAAAGACAGACAGTTGTTAGAGATGTCTGAGAGCCAAGAGTCTCTGAGAAACGTGTTGGAGAGTAAAGAAACAGAGTTGGTTCATTTACAAGATCTTGAGAGGAAGAGATTTCATAGTAAGATTGGGGATTTTATTAAGGAAGATGAGTTTTCGGAGCTGAAGAGCTCTGTTGATCAACAAGTGATGAATCTTAGACAAAAGCTTGAGACAGAGTACGATGAATTGGGAGGAGAAACAGAGGATCCTTCAGGGGTTGATATTGATGTTTTGAAAGGGACAATGGATCTTGCTTTCAACAAGATGCATCACGCGATATTCTTGTCGGAGTTGGGTCCTATTGAGCAGAGTTGGAGATGGTCAATAGAGAGAGATTCAATGGCGTTACTGATAAAAGGTTTCATGAATGGTTTAGAGGAGAAGATGGAGAAGGTAATGATGGTTGTAAGAGATTATGAGTCGGGTTTTAAAGATCGGGTTTGTTCGATTCGTAGAGAGGTAGAGTGTTTAGAATCTCAGTTTGATCAGATCATCATCCATAGATCTTCATCTCCTAAATCATGTGTAGCAACAGCAGCAACAATATCATCATCATCTTCAATAGATTATGAAATTGGTGATGATAAAGAAGCAAAAGAAGATGGAGAAGAAGAACAAGATTCGAGCAATTTTCCTGTTTCGAAGTTGATAAAGAGTCATGAATCAATCATTAGGAGGAAAAGTGAAGAGCTTGCTCCTCCTAAGATCGAGTCTATTAAACGACAGAAGAGTTGCAACAGCTCTAGCTCGAAACGAGCTATTGATGATATTGTTGCAGGTCTTGATAGCTTAATGGGTCTTAACACTAAGCTATTCGAACAATTGTTCGATGATGATGATCGTGATAGACATGAGCATGATCTTGAAGTGGTAATGGATGACAATTTGGATGATGTTTGGATGAAAATGCAGAAGAATAACTCGGTGTTTTCAGACAATGCGATAGAGGATACAGAGATGAAATTAATAATATTGGAGGATACTTACTTGACTTTGCTCAAAGGTCTAAAAGCAGATGAGATCACAAACAATAGAAAAGCGGAAGAAGAAGAAGAATTCAAACAAGAAGTAAATTGGATTATTGTTACTGAGTTGTTAAGAGAAGTTTCAGAGACTGTGGAGAATCATGAAAAGATTGAAGCAAATAATAAACGAGTGATTGAGGAAGAAGTAAACAGAGCCTGCTTGGAAGTTTCTTTACTCTACGATGAGTTTGATTTCAAGATTCAAGAGAAGTTGAAGATGGTAACTTTGAGGTGAGTAGAAAAAGGGTTCTTGAAAAAACAAATCAAAACCTTTTTGTTGAATCTTACTAATGATCTTTTGTTTCTTTTTTGAGGTTACAAAACATGGAGATAAAGATTGATTCAACGATGGATTCTATCGCAGAGTTAAGGCGAAAAGAATCCGTATATAGAAGAGCTTTTGTTCTTGGGTCTGATAATCTAAGAAAGGCAGAAACTGAGGTAAAATAGTTTGTGATTTCATTCTTAAAATGTGAGAACTTTTAATGAGTAATATGAAACTGAGAAAAATTGCAGGTTGATCTTCTTGGAGATCAAGTTGATTTGCTTGTGAAGCTTCTCCAGAAAATACTTTGGACATTGCATCGACATCCATTGCTTCTCTGCAATAACTCAGACGTAAGTTAACCTCTCTAATTTTTAAGTAGATTGTTTCACAAGTAAGTATTTTCTTGTGGCTTTTTTCAGATATCGGAGATCTCAAAGATGATCAAGAAAGAGTTATCATCTGAGGATTCATAAAACCAATATAGTTTTTTTTTTTTTGGGGATCCCTTAGCATTTTCTATCACTTTAATGTTTCAAAAATTCCAAAATCCAATTCTACTACAGCCATTCTTTCTCTCTGTTTTTTCATAATTTTTTTAATATAAATTTATGAAAGTCAACTTCAATTTATTATATGGTTTCTAGAAAAATCTGTAAAGAAACTTTAAATTTATTACCAAAATACTGTTGTATTGAAAACAATAAGTATGTTTGTTATACATTTGTAACATGACTAGTAAAAATTAAATGACTCACCAATATTCTCTTATTCCGTCCAATTCACCATTTTCTATAAGAACACTAAAACCCATTATTCCACTTCTCAGACACACTAAAATATCTAAAAAAACCCTATCCAATTTCAGGAAAACAAACCCAGAAATGAAAACGAAACAGATCAAAGTGATGTTCTTCTTTTTATCAGTGATCATGGCGTTGCTCTGTCATCATCAATCCGAAGCTCAAGCGCGGAAACCAAGTCCCGATGATTGCTTCTCGTCAATAAAGAAGGTTCAAGGTTGTGTGGATGCTGTGAAAGCTGCCACTAAAGGAGATTTTAAAGGTTTGGGTAAGGATTGTTGCCACGCCATCAATGGCCTCGTCGACGATTGTTTTCCCATCATTTTCCCCGGAAAACCATACATTGTAGCACCCGTTAAGGATGCATGTGTTGTTAATTAATTATTAGACCAAATACTTGTTTCCTTGTAACGCAAGATACTCTGCGTTGGGTATACCTTATTTCCTAAGAAACTATTATATAAATCAATTAAATTGCTGTTTGATTTTCTCTCTTCCAAAAATCAATACAACAATCTAGTCAATGCATGCACTAAACACGTTTTCAATATCCAAAAATCCTCCAACAAATATCATCTCAATACTCAAATTATAAACTCATGTAAAAAAAAAAAATTGAGAAGACATTTAAGTGTGTTCTTTGAGATGCTCACACATTTTGGTTCTGGCGTGTTCTCTGATGAACTCTTGTAGCTGATCTGTTTCTCCTGTTAGTCCAGACGTCTCAGCGACCGTGACTTTGTTATGGCAATGCGAAAAAGAAAACACTTCTCCTTCAATCCCGAGAGTGAAGTCATTCGCTGATGATATTGCGCTCCTCGAAACCCTAAGTTTCTCTCTGCGAAACACACACATTAACAAAAGGAAATATCAATGAGAGCTTATTATCTTCAGGATTTAGAAACAGATAAAAAGAAATCAATCTCACATTTGTTTCTCCATCTGCTTGCTGATGAAATCTTTGGTGTATGCAGTTACTTTATCTGTCTTGTTACAGCAAAGCAGAACCGGGATCTTATTTGTAACAACGCCCGCATTGGTCAGAATGTCGTAAAGGTACCTGGAGAAGTAGTACAAACCATCTTTTAAGTGTTGTAAGAATAACTAATGCCTAAGCAAATCATCTCTTATGTGGTAATTGATAAATTACTCTGAAGCTGCCCGACAATTTGGGAGAAAATCCATCGCATCTGCGACAAACACAAGAGTGGTTGCTAGAGGCAAGTATTCTTCTAGCTTAGGAGAGTGCCCAGGAACATCCAAAAGATGAACAGGTTTCGTTTTTCCGATCCACTCTGTTTAAACACATGGCAATGTATGTTTAGTCCATAAAACAATATACATTCTTGAATAAACAAAACCAAAATGACGATCTTTCTCTACCATAGTGATTTTAGTGTGAAGCACAGAGGTGCTTTCGTTCGGTTCCATTGACGTTACAACACCCCGATGCGAATATTCATCTCGGAGCTGTCACCAACACAAAATGTAAATAAAACAATCTTAAAAATGACACAACATTCACCTAGTCGTAAAGTAAAAAACATTCTTCGAAACCCTAAATACTCACTCGATTGAAGAGCACTGTTAATTTTGCCACTTCCGCTTAAACCAGAGAAGAGTACTATATTGGTTTTCTTAGGTCTGAACAAGCGATCTGCAAAATGCAACTACTTACCAAATCTCATACAAAATTAGGAAATCATCAATGTGTGAGAACGGTGTCTAATACTTACCAAAAAAAGCATAATGATCGCTAGAAATAGAACATAAGTGGCATTAAAAAAATTTGTAGTCTCTTTTGATTGAAGAAACTCAATTCCTTGATGCAACCATTGCTTCGCCAGAATTTGCAAGTCCTCCATTTTCTTTATTTCTCTGGTGGTTTGGCTTCCTCTCTCCCTCTCTCTGCCTCCAAAACATTAAAAATTGCCACAATTAAGCTCGATCAAAGGGCAACATTTTGTTTCTATCAATCAACAAAGCAACACAACACCTAACAAGATGCAAACTTCTTCAAGGGAATAACGACTAAATAAACCAATTCTCAGTTTCTTTTAGGCATTTTAACAAACAAGATCTTGTGCAATATAAAGTTTCCACATAAGAACAATTCACCGACCAACGATAAAATTGAGTCCGTCGACCAAGAAAACCAGTTCCAAAACTATAATTCTAAATTGAAGGACAAATCTTCGAAATACTTACAAGAATAAAGTGAAGAGCGGCGTCGACGCAAACGGAGCCCCCAGACGCCGGTCACTAACACCAACGAAGATCTAAAGACATTTAAAACGTTTTGGGGTTACAAAAAAAAAATGGGCCAAACAAATTAAATAGGAAAAAAGAAGCCCATGTTTGAAATAACCTCAGCTTCTTCCCTCTCTGATTCTTTCTTCTTTTACTGTCTCTTTTTCAGCTTTAAAGCGGTGATGTTCTTCAAGTTCAGGAACTTGTAGGATTCATAAATCATCGATTGGATATTACAAAACGTAGCCAAAGTGAAGAACTTTGGTCTGTAGAATCACAAAAGACATGTGAATACCTTGCAAAGATGGTGTTTAAGAACAAGGGCTATTAAGAAAAAGGGCTATTAAGAACAATGATCTTTTGTTTCTTTTAACTTGGAGATAAATATTTATTCAACGATGGATTTTATAGTTGAGTTAAGGCGAAAAGAATCAGTTTATCGAACAACTTTTGTTCTTAGGTCTGAGAATCTCAGAAAGGCAAGGACTGAGGTAAAACAGTTTGTGATTTCATTCTTAATTAATTGTGAGATTTTTTAATGAATCATACTCCCTCTGTCCCAAGTTATAGGATGTTTTAGCATTTTTTCCTTTTCCATTTTATAAAATTTTTCCAGATTTCTATGCATAATTTATGTTTATTTAGTATGTTATGACCATTTAAATTTTGCAGTCTTTTTTTTTTATTGACTGAATTCCTATAAAAAAAAATAAACATTAATTATTTCTTAATCTTTGTGCTTTTACACAAAACATCTTATAAAATGGGACAGAGGGAGTATGAAACTTTGCAAGGTGATCTGCTTGGAGATCAAGTTGACTCGCTTGCATGTAAAGCTTCTCCGGAAAACACTTTGGACATCCATTGCTTCTCTGCAATAACTCAGATGTAAGTTAACCTCTCTGTTTTTAAATAAACGGTTTCACAAGTAATCTTTACGTAGAAAATCTGTATTGCCTGTTGAGTTTTTCTCTCTCCATTTTTTCATAAATTTTTTTGTAATATAAATTTATGTAAGTCAACTTCAATTTATAAAATTTCTAAAAATTCTGTAGAGTAGTTTTGAATTGAAAACAATAAATATGCTTACCAATTGTTTGTTATTCAATTGTAACAATTAAATGATTAACCAAAATTCTCATATTTAGTCCAAGTCCATTTTCTATAAGAAGTAAGAACCCTAAAACTCCTTTTTCACTTCTCAGATACACTACAACTACAAGATCTAAAAAAAACAAAAAAATTGTCCAATTCCAGAAAACAAATTAAAATGGGAACAAAACAGATCGTCACAGTGATGTTCTTCATTTTATCAGTGATCATGGCGTTGCTTTGTCATCATCAATCCGAAGCTCAAGCGCCGATACCAAATCCCGGTGATTGCTTCTCGTCAATAAAGAATGTTAAAGGTTGTGTCGATGCTCTGAAAGCTGCCACTAAAGGACATCTTAAAGGTTTGGGCAAGGATTGTTGCCACGCCATCAATGGCCTCGTCGACGATTGTTTTCCGATCCTTTTCCCCGGAAAACACTACATTGCAGTACTCGTTAAGGATGCATGTGCTTTTAATTAATTATTAGATCAAATAATTGTTTCCTTGTAACGCAAGACACTCCGCGTTTGGGTATACCTTTTTTTCCTAAGAAAATTTAATAAATCAGTAAAAGTGCTGTTTGATTTTATCTCTAACCAAAGTCAATAAAATTCAGTCAATGCATAGGCACTAAACAAGTTTTCAACATTCAAAAAATCCTCCAACAACATCTTAATTAATTCTCAAATTATAAACTCATATACAAAAAAAAAAACAAAGAGAAGCCTACACGAGTGGTCTAGTGGTAGCTAATGATGACTAGGGTAGGTTATAATTAATGAGTTACCCCATGTTCGATTTGTCCTAGAAACTACTCCACAATTGTGTGGGTGTCATGGGTTTTCACATGGCTCCATTGTCCGTGAGAATAGTTGGATCTCATGATCAACTTGATCTGTGAGTTATCCTCTCTGTTTTTAAGTAGACTGTTTCACAAGTCTAGGTAGAAATCTGTATTGCCTGTTGAGTTTTTTTTTTTATTTCCAAAAACATAACATGCAATAACTCAGATGTAAAAGTTAACCTCTCTATTTTTTTCATGAAACCAATACATCTTTTTTTTTTGGAATTTCCCTTTATAGTGTTTCAAAATTTCCAAAATCCAATTCTACTACAACCATTCTTTTCCTCTCTCTTTTTCATACATTTTTTAATATAAATTTATGAAAGTCAACTTCAATTTATAAAATTCCTAAATATTCTGTAAGACACTTTGAATTTATTACCAAAATATTTTTGTATTGAAAACAATAAATATGCTTACCAATATTTGTTATTCATGAAATGTAGCAATTAAATGACTAACCAAAATTCTCATATTTAGTCCAAGTTCATTTTCTATAAGAACCCTAAAACTTTTCTTTCCACTTCTCAGACACACTACAACTACAAGATCTAAAAAAAAAAAACTGTCCAATTCCAGAAAACAAAAATGGGGACAAAACAGATCGTCACAGTGATATTCTTTTTTTTTATCTGTGATCATGGCGTTGCTTTGTCATCATCAAAGCATGTTAAATCCCGGTGATTGCTTCTCGTCAATAAAGAATGTTAAAGGTTGTGTGGATGGTGTGAAAGCTGCCACTAAAAGAGATTTCAAGGTTTGAGCAAGGATTGTTGCCAAGCCATCAATGGCCTCGTCAACCATTATTTTCTGATCCTTTTCCCCGGAAAACCATACATTGCACTACGCGTTAACCATGCAGGTTATGGTAATTAATTATTAAATCAAATACTTGTTTCCTTGTAACACAAAACACCCTGCGTTTGGGTATACCTTTTTTCCTAAGAAAAATTTAATAAATCAATAAAAAGTGTTGTTTGATTTTTTCACTTACCAAAATGAAAATTCAATAAAATCCGGTCAATGCATATGCACTAAACAAGTTTTCAATATCCAAAAAATCCTCCAACAACATCTTAATTCTGAAATTATAATAAAGTCATGTATAAAATAATAATAAAGAGAAGCCCACACGAGTGCTCTAGTGGTAGTGAAACTAATAAGGAAGGTTATAATTAATGAGCTACTCAAGTTCAATTTATCCTAGAAACTACTCCACAAATATGTGGATGTCATGGATTTTCACATCGCTCTCCTTAGCCCCGAGTTTAGTCGGATTTTATGGCCCATTGATCCGAGAACCAGTTAGGAAAAAAAGTTCCCTCGACCTAGTTCGAATTTTATGGTGTCTGTTGAACAATATCACCTAAATTATAAAAAAAAAAAGAAAAAAACTCTAAAATCACATTATCAAGTTTTTGTTGCAAAAATATCATCATTAGGGTTTAATATTCCACCATTTAAAAAATATTTGGGTTCATATTTCTATTTTAGGGTTTAATATTCCAACATTTAAAAAGAATTTTGATTTAATTTAATATAAATTAAATGGTATTATCGGAAGAAAAAAAAATAATGATGGTATTTTTGGAATAAAAACTAAAAAAATATAGTATTTCAGAAAAATGCCTAAAATTAAAAGACATTTAAAGTTGTATTCTTTGAAATGCTCACTTTGTTTTTTTCCACTCTATTAAACACATGACAATGTGTGTCTGGTTTAGTCCATTTTTGAATTAACAAAAAAATGCATGTGAGATCTTTCTTACCACAAAGATATTAGTCGGAAGGCACTCCAAACTCGTATCAGGCAGTGTGGTGGCCCAATTCTGGATCTCATGAATCTCATAGTCCGTTCGACCCGAGTCCGCTCGGAGCTCATAGTGTCCGTTGAATCGTTGAACCGTTGAACCACGAGAGTAGTTTACTCTGTAACACTTTGGTGCGTTCCTAGCGGAGCTGACCGGATCAGCCGATAGGGTTTATCAAAAAAAAAAAGGTGGTGCCTTTGATTGAAATTACAACACCCTGCTGCGAAAATTCATCTTAGAACAGTCACAAATACAAAATGTAAACAAATTAATAAAACCATCTTAAAATATATGACAAAAACACAGCCCTCCCATTTCACTCCCTCCCAACTCGTTGGAATACAGGGATTGCCGTTCCATTTCATTTCGTTCGGAATGCCAAGAGAAGACTTTAGTGCCTCCATAGCCATCCATTCATCTTGACCAGCGGATCAGTAGCGATGCTATAAAGGCACAAAGGCAAACAGATCAGAATAGGATAGATGTCAATTTCTCCGCAAAATGCAACACATGTATGAATAACCTCAGCTTCACTCCTTCGGTGATGTTCTTTAAAGAACAGATTTTGTGCGATCTAAAAATTTTCTTCATAAGAATAACACAGACTGTGGTGAAAGAGACGATGATGGAGAAAATTTAGGACTCACTGCTGAGAAGTAAGCATCATCATGAGCACGACGGTGATAGGGGAGACGACGACGACAAAAAGGGTTTTCTCGAAACAATTAATATAGTTTAAAATATTTATAAGATACTACTAAAACAAAGGGTTTGTACATCAATACAAATTAGTTTACTAGGCAAAAAAACAAGAATATGTCGATAAATTGTTTTCTAACTAAAAATAATCTCGACTTATTTAATAAAAAGAAATCTATATAACACTTGATTACAACAAATGTATCATGAAAATTATATATTTGCACATTGAACGGATCGTAATCTAGTATACAATATACAGTGTGATAGTATTAACCTAAACCTAGGTATATTAATATTCAAATAATAATAATAATAATCTCGGAGATTAAAAAATGTTTATCCATTCACGCACATTTAAACGTTGTGGGCTGAGAAAGTAAATAGTCTGGAGAAACTTAATGGGCTAACAAAATTAAATAGGAAAAAAGAAACACATGTATGAATAACCTCAACTTCACTCTCTCGGTGATGTTCTTCAAAGTAACAACTTGTCGGATTTGATAATCTGTATCGATTCCTTGTGTTTACTTCATAAATCATCGATTGGAGCCGTCCCCGAGAATTTGAAAGCCAGAAGAAGCAAGAGAAAAAATTAAGCCTATTATTTATAAAATAAATAAATAAAAATTGAAAAACAATAAAAAAAAAAAAAAGAAAGACTGAGAAATTCGAACTGTGCACCTCTAGTTGTGGGAAGATTCCTTTAACCACTAGACTACTTAAAACCAATTTTGCAAAACTTGGGCTGATATTATATATAATTTAAAAATAGGGCCGAAAGCAAAAGCTTTTGTTCGGTTGGCCTCGTCGACGGCCATGGGTATTGCAAAACGCGGCTAAAGTGAAGAACTTTGGTCTATAGAATCACAAAAGACCTGTTCTTTCTCTGGTTCTGTTACTGTTATTTCTCGAAATGAGAGGAATTTTTCTGATTAGATTAAGGCTATCAATCTTTAGGGCTCCTGCAGTGAAATGTTTAAGATCTAGTAATGTTTTGCCTAGTTTGAGCAACACATGTATTGTTCAACATTATTTGGAACCTCCCATAGCTTGTGTGCTTCCTTTAGGTCTGTGTTCTATGTTCTCTACTTCCATAGCTGATTCAGAGCAAGTGGGATTTACTCGGAGTAACATTGAGAAGGATGATGAAAGTGAGGAAGAGATTGACCTCGATCTTGGTTTTACTATAAGTGATGATGGTGTTTCAGAGGATGTTGGGACGATTGTGAAGCTGTTGAAAAATTGTGGGAGTGACAGGAAGGAACTGAGAAACAAGCTTGAGGAATGTGATGTGAAGCCATCAAATGAATTAGTGGTGGAGATTCTTTCTCAAGTTCGTAATGATTGGGAAACTGCTTTCACTTTCTTTGTTTGGGCAGGGAAGCAGCAAGGTTATGTTCGTTCTGTTCGTGAGTATCACTCTATGATCTCGATTCTTGGTAAAATGAGGAAGTTTGATACAGCTTGGACTTTGATTGATGAGATGAGAAAGTTTAGCCCTTCTCTTGTGAACTCACAGACACTTTTGATCATGATTAGGAAGTATTGTGCGGTTCATGATGTTGGGAAAGCTATAAACACGTTCCACGCCTACAAAAGATTCAAACTTGAAATGGGGATTGATGATTTTCAGAGTTTGCTCTCTGCTCTTTGTAGATATAAGAATGTTTCTGATGCTGAGCATTTGATCTTCTGTAATAAGGATACGTATCCGTTTGACGCCAAAAGTTTCAACATAGTTCTCAATGGATGGTGTAACGTGATTGGTAGCCCACGGGAGGCTGAACGAGTCTGGATGGAGATGGGAAATGTCGGAGTCAAACACGATGTTGTGTCTTATTCAAGCATGATATCATGCTATTCGAAAGGTGGTAGCTTGAATAAGGTTCTCAAACTTTTTGATCGGATGAAGAAAGAGTCTATAGAGCCAGATAGAAAAGTGTACAACGCGGTGATTCACGCTCTTGCCAAAGCTAGTTTTGTCTCCGAGGCGAGGAATTTGATGAAGACAATGGAGGAGGAGAAAGGGATGGAGCCAAATGTTGTTACTTACAACTCTCTCATCAAACCTCTATGCAAGGCTAGAAAAACTGAAGAGGCTAAACAGGTTTTCGATGAGATGCTGGAGAAAGGACTCTTCCCAACAATCCGTACATACCATGCGTTTATGCGGATTCTAAGAACGGGAGAAGAGGTGTTTGAGCTATTAGCTAAAATGAGAAAGATGGGTTGTCAACCAACTGTGGATACATACATAATGCTGATCCGTAAGTTATGTAGGTGGCGCGATTTTGATAATGTGTTATTGTTGTGGAATGAGATGAAGGAAAAGGGCGTTGGTCCAGACCTTAGTTCATACATTGTGATGATACATGGTCTGTTCTTGAATGGTAAGATAGAAGAAGCTTATGGGTACTATAAAGAGATGAAGGAAAAGGGTATGAGACCAAATGAAAATGTTGAAGATATGATTCAAAGCTGGTTTTCAGGAAAACAATATGCAGAGCAGCGGGTAATAGATTCGAAAGGGGACGTTTCAGGAGTCGATAAAGGAGGTATTGTAAAAAAATCTGAACGAGAAAAGAACTTTCTCCAGCAGCCTGAGGTGAGAAAGGTTGTGAGAGGACATGGATATTCGTTTTGGGATGAATAGAAAAAGCTAGAGGTCAAGAAGAATCGTAGGTAGGAGAATCATCTTGAAGAGCTTTGACCAGATTAGCTAGTTCTGGTTAGGTTTTGATCATAACAGGTTAATTTTGCACTGAGGAGAGATATGGTTAGTGTTCTTGAGGAAAATTCGAAAGAGAGAGATTATATACAATAGTTTTAAAATCATATTTATATAAGAAGAAAAATCTCTCTTTTGAATTTTGAAACTGTCTATGTAGATACAAACGAAGAGCATAGCCATGTATGTGTTTCCAATATTTACAAACATACATTTTTTTTCAAGCCTAATATCAAGATTAAAATTAGAAAATACACTCTACTGTGCAAGGATAGGGAAGGTTGCAGAGAGAACTTGGTCCGACTCTAACCTTCCTTAGTGTGTTGAAGTAAAGAGAAGATGAAAGTTTTGCGTGTTCTTGTTTGCTGTCATCTTGAAGCTGAGAGAAACTTGTGGAATCTTTCTATTCTATTCTGTGATAATTTATCCAGTGACAAGTTGGTGCACTTCTTCTGTTTCTTCTTCCTGTGGAAGAAATCCTCTGTGTCCAAAACATACGAAATCTACAACACGAGATGTTATGAATCACATAAGAGCTTGATTTTGTAAACAAGAAACTCTGTACCGGTATGGTTGAAGACCAGTATCTATACTTACCTTGTAGGAAGAGCAAGACATCTTGCACTCAAGGCCATTAATTACTTGTACACCCTCCATGGCCTTGCAAGCTACTGCAAGATCATCCAGACCTGTGTATCCACGCATGTTCCTGCACACAAAAAAAGACTTGATTTTATATGTAATTAGAGTAAGGTGTGAAAGCTACTGAAACTCAATATACCTTTGTAACACAATGTCCTGTAGCTCTTTTTTCCCTGATGAGTTGGAGAGGAACTCATTTTGCAAATAACTCGCAAAAGTGGGTTCCATGGAAACTGCATAAGCCTCGGGCTTTTCAATTATGTTATCCATAAGCTGGATTGACAAACGAGATGGAGAGGAAGACTGCGTATATGAAAGAAAGAAAAAAAATAGTTGCAGGGTCAATGAATCATCAATAATCCTCAATGAAGAGATATGAGAAAGGTGAGAATTGGTTTAGGGTTCTTACACATTCCAACCGATAAATATTTTCCTCATGAAGGAGGATCCTGGCGTTATCATAATATACCGAATCAACTACCCTCCCAGGTCTCCGGGAATTCTCATACTCATACAACTGAAGAAGCTTATTGTCCATATCGTCAGCTACGACAGCTTGAAGCTGCAACAGATGGAACGAAGTCAGATTTAAAAAGGATTATAATGTCTGAA